CCACTGGAAAGAGCTTGGCCCCATCCTCCTGACACCCACCCTGCAGATATTGCATAGGTTAATCTGGGTGTCTTGCCACCGGTGGAACATTAGCTTTGTGATGGACACCCTCGCTCTCTGCAGCACACAGCTGACGACTTGTCAACTCAGCAGGCTCAGAGTAAGCCAGAGGGATTAGTCCACAACTGACATCAACCTCACTGCTTTTAAGAGAGAGGTGATTGTATCCGTGGCCCTTGTGTGGTACATCGCAGGCAGTCTCAAGACCTGCAGCAGCAGGAGGGAGATCATCACAAGCATCAGACCCTCCTGTGTGCAAGCTTCTAGCGTTTAAAGAAGGCTTAAATCAGAGTATCCCGATGAAAACACTCAGACTAGACAGTTCTCTCTCACATTCATGAATTCTAGCAGTCAGATAGCAACAAAGGAAATAGCCACAGAGAAGCAGGCTGATCATACCTCCTGGGCTGTAGTCTTTTTTAAAGTCTTCCTTTTTCTGATGGGGAAGGACGAATTTGTAGTCTATACTGTCATGTACCCAGCCTTTCTCAATGAACAAGCCAGGAACCTCATCTGAAAACAGCCAATACCTGCAGGAAACATACACATTAACAGGTAGTACCTGTCTCCTCTTCTGGCTAGTTACACACATCTGCCTTTATTTGCACAAAGGGGAGAAGCATCTGTCTGCTTGACTCAAAAACTGAATGCATGCGTATCTTCGTATTAGCACAGCTGAGCAACATGAAAAGCTTTTATTAGAATCCATTCTAAGAGCATTCCTGTGCAACAAACACGAAAAAAAAAGAAAGATGGTAATTAGGTTCTTGAGCACTGATGCAAACACTTGAAGCTCCGCTGGCTAGTGGATCCTGACCTCCACAGGAAGGCCTCAGAAAGCTGGCCACATAAACCAGAGAAGGCCGTTACACTGTCTGCGCCAAAAACTCACTTCTGCTCTCCTCCACAGCTCAGCACAGAGCGAGTCCTCCCAGCCCCCTCAACAGCAACCACTTTGTGGGGCTGCTGTCTGACAAAGCTCCTCTCAGAGGGGAGAGCTGGCAGCCCAGGATCGCTTCCTCTCCTACCTGTTATGATTACGATCGGTGCCAACCGGGGTCCTGCGCATCACCAGCTTCGCTTTCGCAATTCCATCCTGGAAAGTTTTCTCAGCTGCAGCTTTGTGCCTCCGGATTCTTTCTTCCTCTGCTTCTTTCTCCATTCTCACTGTTGGAATTAGCACAGAGGACTATTAGCTTTCTTTCATTGTATCCAGACATCAATATTCTCTTTTATTCTACTACACCACGGGGGTAAAGAAAAAAAATTTATTGGTGACTGGTTACCATTCTTTTAGCACAGCCATCCACCCTTTGTCTTACTTTCCACCCACCATTCTAGAAAAAAACCTCAAGAATTATTAAGAAGTCAAGGCATAAGGCTGAACTGGGCTGAGGAAAGAGGAAAGTCTGGATGAAAACTGTCTGGAGAAATTAGTCCTCATTATTATTTCTCATTCTGGATCAACAAAGTGGCATCCATTGCTGTTCAATCCCACGCAACAAAGGGGTCAAAGATCTCTACCTACAGCAAGGGATTCTGCTCTGGCCAGCTCCAGCGCTGGGAGCAGCCCAGCCGTGACAGCAGAGAGGTCAGCACAGCGATGGACACAGCTGCGGCTACGGGGAACGCTCTCCCCACAGCCTCACCTACCGAAACACCAGACGTGGCACAACAGAGGCCTCTTCCAGGCACAACTGTCTCACAGCAGTGACCAAGCCACATCTCCTAACACCTCACGCCTTCCAAAACACGCTACGATGTGGAAGAGCATGAAAACAGAAACCTCAGGCTTCCCACTCACGACAGACGTGTTGGAATTTCAGTAGCTCTCAATATCCACGGCTGTTGACAAAAAAGAGGGGAAAGAAAAATATGAAGTGGCCTAAATCCTGGCACCACGGGCTCCTTGGCAAGAGCCTCACTGAACAAAACATGTCATCTCACATCTCTAGGTGAGGAGCAAGGAGTAAGACGGCTTCTGCCAAGAGACAAAACATTAAGGTCAACAGGATTTACGCTTCTCAGAATGGTTCAAGAGTCTCCCTACACTTCTGTCTGTCTCTGAAGAATAGGTGTACTTTCACCAAGAGCTGCCACAACAAAAAGTCAAACTGAGTCACCCTGGCTCAACTTCCGAGCCTGACTCCAGCCCAACAAAGCCACCACCCCTTCCCGACTCGCACAAAAGACTATGGGCAGCATTCTTCTGGGTCCTGAGAAAACCTGAGGAAAAACATAAAAAGGATGAAGAAATGAAGACTTGTCTTTGCATCACAAAGGAGGGCAAGCAGATGGAATGAGACTGCAAGGAAGGTGTGAGGTGGAGCGGGGCAGGCAAAAGCGAGCATACAGAGGTCGTGAGCTGGCTGCTGCCCCAGGGGGAAAGCCAACCTCTTGCTAGGACTTCTCCCACGGCTACCACCTACTCTCTCTTCTCTTGCAGCCATTTTCTGCATCAAGATCGGTTTGGTAACAGTTGATTTGTAAATACCTGGTAAGTCTCTGAAGTCCTGCCAATGTAATCAATCCTGACTGATTAGAGGAGACATGCTGAAAAACATACCCTTGCGTTTGTTAGACCAAGTCAACATCACAGCTTTTACACAGTAATATACCAACAATACAGCAGCTGGCAGTAATTGCAGCATGGCACAGTTGTCCTGTTAACGCACCCCTGCCAGGTACAAGCCGCTGCACAACTCGTACGTCTGCAAACACCAGCTCCTCCCTAAACCTTAGGGCCTCTCCCGGCGTCACAGCACTGAAACCAGAGCCAGCAGCGGCAGGCGGT